GTTAAATTGAATTAAATTAAATTGAACAAATATTATGGATGACCAATTTGATTAGACAATGGGAGTCAACTTGCAAGAGGAAAGTATAATGTCCGACTTTTATAATCTGATACTCCAAAGGAATGTAAGCTGGTGGCTCCTGGTTAGCACGCTAATGCTTACCTGACTTCACACCGGTTTTTGCTGTATTTTTCCTCCCCTCGCTGTGTGAGTGTCAAATTAAAGAGGCTTAACATTACAAATTTCCGCATTTACTTGCTGACTGGCAGTCGAGAGAATAAAAAAAGGTTTTATTGTGAAAATAACGCTGAAAAATCGCCAGACGGTAATCACAGTTTGAAATCTAGTTTTCCGCAACATTCTGTGTACATTTTGAACGGGTAGCAGGCATCGAAACCACTTATATTCTCATCAGCTGACTAGCCACATTCCTCAAAGGCTCAAAATGCCAGATAAAAAAATTACTCCACTAAACAGTCCCTATCTCAGAGTCTATAAGTGTAACCTATTGCTAGTGGGCGATTTTAATTTACCACAAGTTAAATGGGTTAACAATGAGTTTGGTCTAACCAACGAGTGTGCGGGAAATTTCCTAGCTAATGATTTAAACGAGTGTGTGTCTAGATTTTTACAATTTTCGTCAGATAAACGCTATCACGAATAGCAGGAATGCATTACTTGACCTGGTGTTTTCAAATTTGGCCACTGTTGAGATTGACAGAGCCATCGATGTGATTTTGAGTGATAGTGTTCACCACACAGCTATATTTATAAGATTCAGCCATAATGGAGAGTAGAATGCAAACGTTCTGAATATGAGAAGTCCTTTTTTAATTTTGAAAATGACAATTACATATCATTGAATGATTATTTGGCCGGTGTTAATTATTCGTGTTTAATGAATGATTTGACCCTTGAGCAGGCGCTCTATGGTTTTATTAAATACTGTGGGAGGGGACAACTTTATATATTCCAGTAGATAAATTCAGAACTTCTAACTTTTCTATGTGGTTCATCACTGAGCTGCGTAAATTGATGTTGAAAAGAAGAAGCTTCACGGAAAATTTAGAGAAACTAGAGATAATTTGGACTATTTGTTGTTTTCTCAAGTGAGGGATAGGTGCAAGGATTTGAGAGACTCCTCCCACCTGGTCAAAACTGAATCATTTTGGTCAGATTTCAACAATCTTAGAAATAACTTTGTTCATGACTCTACTAGCTGTAGTAGTCAAGGGACTGCAGGCCCGGATTAAGGGGGGTTCTACCGGTTCTATAGAACCGGGCCCAACGTTCCAAGGGGCCCTCGCGAGTTCGAAGATTAGACAAAAAAATTTGAACTTGAATGTACAACAAACATTGTATTGCCAAAATTCCCCTAAAAGCTGGCTTGACAAGATTATAAACCTTCAGCCTATAGCTATGTTGCCATATTGAATCACAACATGGCGCCGTCTCATTTTTGATTGGTTCTTTAAAATCCGATATATTCATAGGGAAAACGCCGCCATTTTGGGGCGTTGACTGCCAAGCCTGATATAAGAATTTAGCCCCAGACGCCCATTATATCCAAGTGATTTTCCTTTATTTTAGTCACAAATAAAATCTGAATAAAATAATTTTTTGATTTTTCTTGTTCACACGGCCGTCAAGTTACTGTTGGACCTTACCCCAGACGCCCAGTACGAGATAATTCGTAGTGGGCTTCTGATTCAAGTAGCTAATTTTAAATATGAATATATAGGAATTAAATGGACATCCATGATAACAAATTGAAAACAACGTATTTGATGTACTCAAGTAATTATAGTCATCGGATACATGTTTCCAATTTTTTATTATACATGTCCATTTAATGGCCGTTTACACCGACCATTTTAAGGAGGCCTTGGCGATAAGTATTCCTGAGGCCCAGTTTCACAATTGGTGGTAACCTGCACTGGTTATCAAACTAAGGGCCAGTTTCACAAACAGCGGTAACCCAACGGTAACTACAACACACTGGTAACCCACAATAGGTATATCTGTTTCATAATATATAGTTAAGCCAAAACTATGGGTCGAGCTATAGAATATTTACCTCAAGACTTATTTTGCAAACTTGTGGTCAACCTGCAACTATTAGTTTAATAGCCACTGGAAGTTCCAACACTTGTAAAACTGGGCCTAATAGTTGCGGTTTAACCACAAGTTCGCATAAATAAGAATTGAGTTAAATAACCTGAACTTTGATCAATGGTTTTGGCTCAACGACACATTTTCAAACCAGATATATTGTGGGTTACCAGTGTCTTGTGGTTAACGCTGTTTGTAAAACTGGCCCTTAAAGGGGATGTGCGCCAAAAAAACAACTTCATCTCAAAAAAAAGAGAAAAAAAATCTAAGAATAACAGTGAAAATCGCACCCCTCTATGACAAATAATACCGAAGATATGGCTCTATGGAGGTATCGAATCTCACCCTATGACGTCACAAAACCTCAAGCGACGCACGAGAAAGTGAAGTAAATTGAATTTACGTATGTTTTTCCTGTGTCACCAATAATCTAAACAAAAACCACTCACGCGTACCGGGAACAATCAGATTAAAGGTTGTCGCTCACTGGAGCGTAGCGCACGGCAGCGCGGCGGAGAGGAATTTTTAAATACATTGTTTTAAACGGGAGTACGCTCACTTGTCGAAAGAGCACCGATCGGCATAGTCCCATTTAAAACAATGTATTATGAAAAATCCTCTCCGCCGCGCTGCCGTGCGCTGCGCTCCAGTGAGCGTCACCCTTAACAATGCGGAGCGCGGTCGGACGAAGCTCTCGTGACGTCACACACACTTTAAAGCGGTATATCTCAGCGATGGTTTATCGTAGATTAACGAGGTTTGAACCGTTATTCTTAGATTTTTTACACTTAAACTTTATTTTCTGGCGCACACCCCCTTTAACATGATATTTTTACCATGGAGAAATGTCACTTTGAGGAATACATTAATCCTCTATATTCATATTTAAAATTAGCAAGAGGTAAGCCCCAAAATGGTTGCGGAACCTCTATTGTCGCCACTGTATGTAAAGGTATATCTGGTCGCTGTAATATTAAATACAGGAAAGACCATATACATACCTATTATACTGACGTATATCACGCCTTTCCTATTTACCTAATGTGCGGATTTTGAAGCAAAGAAAGAGGTATATGATCTCGCATAAGTCTATCTTTGCCAAGCAAAGTAGAACGAGGTCATGAACTGCGCATGCGTTAAATGCTAGATTCTTATTGGCCGGCGGTTGGCATTTTGTAACATACTTTTTGTGCAACGTTGTCACATCAAGTTGAGGATATCATGCGTCATTTTGAGTTGCTGTGTTTCTCTGGTCGTTTCTTTATTTAATTTCTTTATGACAGGCAACCCAGCAATATCAGCTGCTTAAAATTGAGACTTGAATAATTGATGGTGGAATAATTTCATATTAACGCATACGCATTGCGCATTAAAAAACAAAATTCTCCCTAGACAAAGATTGCGTATTTTCATCTCATATTGTTTGCTTCACCAGTTCGAAACAACCCGCGGTATACGTCAGTATGAAGGTTCGATTCCTAAAGCTAATAGGTTGTTGAATATCTGAAAAAATAGGGGCCCCAAAAAATTAATTAGCACCGGGCCCACCAGTGTCTTAATCCGCCTCTGAGGGACTGTAGACTTGTCTGCAGACTTTTTTTCTAGTATTTAATCGAACGGTTCCACTAATCAGGCTCCGGAATATTCATTTTCCAACGTCACTGATGTTTCTGGATACTCTGTTTCTTGTGCTGAGATTATAGAACAAATGAAAAAATTCACCCGATAAGTTGCCATGTGTAGCGGATGGAATTCCCTTGCTCTTCACAAAGAAATGTCAGCTCTGGAAAGTGTTCAGGATAGATTTCTAAAGAGTGACTGTAGATTGGCTACAGATTGGGCTTGGTTTATGATGAGTGTTCATACCTTGCAAAGCAATAGACTTCAGGCGGATCTTCCGTTCCTTTACAAACTTTCGAGATGGTTAATTGACTGCCCAGATCTTTTGGGTCTCGTTTCGTTGAGAGCAGGAGAAAGTAGGGTGAGAGGGTCTGAGCTGTTTTATGTATCATTCCATAATAGGTACTAATTTTGGTATGAATCAGTCAAATAAATTCAGAATAATATGCAGGTACGCCCTTTTATAACAATTACTAATTGCAACACTATTTTCTGTGGTCTTTCCAGAAACCTACTTCATAAAAAAAAATTAAATTGAGTTTTATTTAATTGTACCTTAATTTACTTTAATTTCCAGAAAAGTCTCTTTTTGCATTGTAAGTCCCTGTAAATTAATGCTCCATTTTTCTAGATCATTGCAGATTTATTTCAGAAGATGCCTTCTGCACTGCAGTAATTAGGACTTTTGAATATTACTACTTGCTGACATTCTTCCAGGAAAAATTTACCGTAATGAGAAGGTTACCAGTTATCCCATGTCATTTAATGGCCCATCTTGGTTAAAACTACCTGAAGCTGAAAACTATTGGCGCAAAGATGTTTCTCTTCGAATTGCACCTTCAATAAAGTTACCTGAATTGCACAAGCAAACAACATTGGTAGTACAAACTGAACGAAATAAACTATTTTACTTAATCGGTGATCGGCTGTCAACTCATGCATGTCCCGTCTTTAACGAGTCTTCAGCTATTGTTTTGAGTTTCATTAACAATTGCGGGACTCTGACAAGAAAATTAGAATATTTTTTTCAGAGTTATGTAACTCATCGTCACCTTAACGACTTTCCTGAGAATACATACGGTCCTAGAATTTGTTTCACCTTGCCTGCCCAAGCTACCAACCGCTGAGCATAGCTACTAGACATCATTATGGGCGATCCTTTATTCTGATTAAAAATCGTTATAACTTATCTTTTTTTTTTTAGACAAAATTACTTTTTTTGGTGTACTTACTTATTTAGAAGATTAACTTTTTTTTTTCTATTCTAGGTATGATAATATCAATGCCATTCCTGCTAGCCACTTTTTTGGTATATGCAATACTACCTGACAGAAATCTCCACCAGAGGGCACTGATGTTCTACGTGTTAACGTTGCTTATATCTTACATGCTATTGGTTACGATAAATTTGTCTGAGAATATTAATCGACCATGGTGTGAAATATTTGGTAAGTGAATTTCAACTCTTGTGTTTCTTCATAGGTAGTCTTTTTAATTATATAGATGCGATTTGACTAAATATTCACTCCTAGAGCAATCCATTTTTTTTTTTTTTCATAAAATGTCTTTTATCGAATTTGCATTGTTACAAAAAGCACCTTGATTAATACTCACATTCATTCAGGATAACTTCAAAAATGCTGAAAGAACTAATTTCGTATCTTTCAATTCGACCAAGACTGTATTTTTTTCGACGACTATTGCAGAATTCGCCAGTTTCTTATTACGACATAGCTTTATTCCATTACTTGTTATATGAAATGACACCATGTGGTGCCCTCTAAAAGTTAGATTTAGTTCACTCGCATCTTATTATAGGCCTGTTCGCACAGCAATCACAAACCAGTCAGAGCGCATTTCATTGGTTGAAAACAATCAGAAACAGTCAGAAAACTAGTTTCAACCAATGAGATTCACTCTGACTGGTTTGTGATTTCTCTGCGAACAGACCTATTATTATTCAATTGTTACTCTCAATTCATACATACAGGAAATTTTCAGGATATTTAACACTGTATTTCTTCATGGTCTCCTTCTTCTGGATGAACGTAATCTGTTTCGATATCTGGTACACTTTCAGCGGAGGCAGAGGTTTTGTAGGAAGCAAACGGACCTCGGAAAGAAAAAGGCTTTTGCTTTACAGCCTCTACGCTTTCGGCGTGCCTCTCTTAGTGGCGCTGCTTGTGCTATTGTTGCAAAGCAAAGTTTTATCGGAAAGCTCAGAGCACAATCCCGGAATTGGAATTAATAAATGTTTCCTTGGAGGTAATAGCGCGGCTAGTTAGTATTTTTGAAGTACGGAATTAAAAAACCTTATTTTTAGATGGCTGGCCGAATCTGTGGTATTTCTACTTGGAAGCCGGACTGTTGGTGCTTATGAATATAATATTTTTCACGCTAACTGCTCTTAAAATTAGACAAGTCAAAAAGGAAACTTCAATGTTGAAACATAATGATAGCCAGAGACACTCGTATGAGAAAGACAAACAGAAGTAAGTACCTATACGCAGTTTTTAGTTAATTTGTTATAATAAATACAAATATTATTTTCATCGGTTAATAAAAACAAGAAACGGCACGCTAGGAAATAAATGTTACAAATAAAATATGTTCCATAGTTCATAGATATTTGATTAAAAAAACTCGTGACCATTGTCGCTGTGTAGAATTTTTGGAGCTAGAGATTGTAAAAAAGCTAATTTTCGTCGCCTGCTTACTTTTCAATGCTCTAGAAACTAGACAGATGTAGTTCAGTAAACTTAACTAATTCTCCGACTTCTACTGCAAATCATAGGGATCAATCTGCCAGCGATGATTCGAATTTTTAGATTAACTATGTTTTTCTACTAATTTTTGAGATTTTCGTATCGCCTCTCAGCACATCGCGTCCATCTTTTTAATAATATTTTATTGGAATAGGATATTTTTGTTTTCCCATTCTATTTCTGTCTTCATGGACTAATAAGCAAAGTTTGTTTTTTATTTAAAGATAATTCCTCAAGTCAAAAATTTAGTGACTATGTTGGCAACACATGCCTTTTCTACATAAGAAAATTGATAGCATTGACAATTTTACATTGTATTGCCAACATAATGTCATTTTGACTTTTATCTTTTAAAAAAAAACAGATTTTACCTACACCTTTTCCGACAGTATTTTAGAAATCTTCAATTGTATTTCAGAATAGTCATTTGTATTTGAGAAATCAACACACGAATAATAGCATAAATACTTATATTTCTCTTCGAACAATAAATAATACATTCATTCTTGCTCGATATTAAACCGATTAATGATATGAATTCTACACGCCCCGTGAATGTAAACCGAAATCCACGGCCTACCGACCAACGACCAATCAGATTCTCCGTATTTTCGGAATACACGGGCCGCAACGAGACAATCCCTGCGTTTTTGTTCTCATCAAATTTTACCGATGCATCCACCATTCTATGTCGGTCATTGTCATTTTCCATTCACTAAACAAAGATAGCTAACTCATATAAAAATATTTATATCCTACTGAACTATTATAACCATATAATACCTTGGTTACGATAATCATAAACAGGGTCTTAACTCCCAAGGAAGTTAAGGATTTTCATAACTCCCGCGCGGGAGTTAAGGATATCATAACTCCCAAAGAAGTTAAGGATTTCCATAACTCCCTACCTCGAATAGGTAAAACTTTGTAAACTTCATAAAAATAGTTAAAATACAGTAAATTCAGTAGGATATAAAATTATCTATGTACCACGGGAATTATCAGGTGTTAATACCCACGGGCAATTGGTGTCCCTCGGGCCAGAGGCCCTCGGGACACAAACGTTGCCCTGGGGTATTAACACCCTCATAATTCCCTTGATACATAATAGTTATTTATGTATCAAGGGAATTATAAGGGTGTTAATACCCTAGGGCAAAGTTTGTGTCCCGAGGGCCTTCGGCCCGAGGGACACCAATTGCCCGTGGGTATTAACACCTGATAATTCCCGTGGTACATAGATAATTTTATTTCCTACTGAATTTACTGTATTTTGTCTATTTTTATAAAGAAATAAACCATAAACCAAAATTCCTATTTTTTGTCAAAGTTTCACCTCACCTATTCAAGGTAAAAGCGGGAGTCATGGAAATCCTTAACTCCCTTGGGAGTTATGACATCCTTAACTCCCGCACGGGAGTTATGAAATCCTTAACTCCCTTGGGAGTTAAGACCCTGTTTATGATTATCGTAACCAAGGTATTATATGGTTATAATAGTTCAGTAGGAAATAAATAACTATAATGCGAGGTGAGGATAATTCTTTTTATTTATCATTTGCTTGTTGATGTTCAGTTTATTCTTTTATCTTCAGTTTCTTCTAGTTTTATTATTAAACATCCTTAAATATATTTCTGAGTGAATCATAAATAAAAATTTAGGTTGGTAGAATTGTTTATTATAATTTATGTTGTCAATAAGTTGATCTGGTGTAAAACGAAGTCAAGCCATTGTTAAGCCAACATAAATTGGCAAATGAATTGGCAAACAAAGGACCCCGCACACTTCTTATGGAATTTTGGTTGAACGCGGAATTTAACCAAATTTTAGTATGTTGTATATTTCGACCTCCGGAGTAAAAGTTCTCATGGGTACAAACCGATCCTATGACTAGTTTCGGATATACGGGGGTTTTTCTATATACTACCTCAGGCAACCTGAAAATACTGAATTTCCATCAGTGCCGGTTTAAGGTAGTTTGCCGCCCGGTGCTACAAAAACGCAGCGCCCCCCGCCTGTTTGGAAAAAAACAAAACAATTTTATTTCAAAAAATGTATTCAATTCTTTTATACAGGGTGTCCCAGGGAGAACATAGTCCATCTCGATTTATTGGATTTGGAATGAGAATCTGGAAAAACGCTCAGACACGTCGATTTATGATTTGAGGGGAAACCATTTTTCAGTTTTTTCAACCCCCGTAGCCTCAATCCCTTAGTTGGGGGAGAACAACCCTCCAAATTTGAATAGGGGATAGGGCCAGGGGTTGTGTCGGATCCTACCTCAGGGGCGTGCCGAGTTTCTTGGGGGCCCCCCGCGAGATTTTTCTTGGGGGCCCCGAACAGTTTCGGTAAAAATAAAAGTAAACAAAAAATATCATAAAAAAAATTATTAAAGATCATAACATGAAATAAAAAATAAGAACTACTCTGGTAAAAAAAAACATATATAAAAACTATGAAAAAAATTGTGAAAATAAAAAAATAACAACCAAACTCTGGTTCAAGCAAAACTAAAACAAAGAAATAATAAAGAAAAGTGTAATAAAACCATTTTCTCTAATTATTTTGGTGGTAGAGACTAGCATTTTTTGTGTCGACTAGTAGAACGACTGGATAGAAAATGATCAACTAGTTCATCAATATTTACATCTTTAGCTCTTTCGTGCTCTATTGAGATGAGAGCTAAAGAACTTATGTGACCGTTCCCACAATCTAAGGTTCCCACCGACTAATTTAGGGGAGCCTTAACGATAAGTATTCCTCAAACTGACATTTCTCCATTGAGGACTGTTATTTTAAGGAATACTTATCGTTAAGGCTCCCCTAAATTAGTTGGTGGAAACGGCCATTAGACTTGTTTGAGACATGGTCGACTTAAGGACATTTTTTATTAATTTCAATTTGGAAATTTGGGGGCCCCAAATATCCACTGTCCTACCTCTTTTTAAAAGTCTCATCGAATTCTTTATGGCCCTAGATTTTCGTCTTATTATTTTCATCCGTAACAAAATGACAGCTTGTCAAAATCTTGGAAATAGACTATTGTTTTAGTGGGAGTAAAAGCGATACTTACTTCCTCTTAATAAAAATACTTGAAATTGAAGTTTTTTATCATTATTATTAATCAGGTGAACACGCGAATTGTAAATTGTAAGTATGTTTATTAGGAATGGCAAGAACCACTTTCACTCCTACTAAAACAATACCGTAAAACGGGGATACTTTGTGACAGATTTGGGGGTTTTTTGAAATTCTCAAACATTTCTTTGTCACATAAAATTCTAAAAAAAATACACTATGTATATCCGTTCTTCCGCTACAAAATGGCAGTTCTAGAAAATTGAAAAAAAAAAAAATTATTCAGGTTTTTTTTTAATTTGAAAGTATCACAATTTTACCCCGTGATGCGGGGTAACTTTGTGACAGTGCGTTTTTGTCAATGAAAACATAATGTAACCCCGTCATTTTTAGTCTGAAACGATAGAAAATGTCAAGAAATATATGCTTGATAATTTTCTCATATTAAAAACACCGGTATATACTGATTTAGACATTTTAAACTTTTATTGCATATCATACGATATAGTATTTATAACCCATCCAGAAATTGGGATGAGAACTCCACCCATAGGAAGTCGTCCACATTAGAAGACATGTCGATCCTTTTAGCATTGTTTTAGGTTGAGCATAAGTTTCTCCCATAAGAATTACATGTCACCAGGTTACCCCGGTAGGTTACTCTTTTTTGTTTATTGTTAAAAAAAATGTTTCAAATTGATAAATCGTAAGCGTATTCACGTAGATATCCTGACAAATACAAGTTGAATTAGAAATTCTGACGAATTTTTCTGGGGAGTGTCCAAATTCTGATGTGCAGTAGAAAGTTTGGGCGGTTTGAAAAAGTTGCAAAAACGAGATGCTCCCTTCGAATCAGGCTGCAAGTTACCAAGGGAGCGTACCAGCTTGCCGAACGGTTTTTGTAGCGAGTGAGGTATGTGCTTCCACCAGCCGGTAGAAAAATTTGGCTTCGCGCGCGGAATTTAAAATGTTTGGCTAATTTGAATTGAATTTCACAATGTCACAAAGTTTCCCCCTTGTCACAAAGTATCCCCGTTTTACGGTAGTCGATTTCCAAGATTTTGACAAGCTGTCATTTCGTCGCGGATTCAAAAATAAGACGAATTTCTAGGGCCATAAAGAACCCGATGAGACTATTGAAAAAAGGTGTGACACGACCTCTGCTCTATCCCCTATTCAAATTTGGGGAGTACTGGTTCTCCCCCTAGGGATTCAATCTACGGGGATGAAAAAAACTGGAAAATATTTCACCTTCAAATCGAAAAACGGCGGGTCCGAACGTTTTTCCCGATTTTCATTTTGAATCGAAAAAATCGGGGTGGACTGTTTTCCCAGGGCCACCCTGTATATATTTATTACGCAACGATGCCACCGCCAGACAATATTATTATTATCTTGAAATGAATAATTGAAGTGAGATGCGAGCTGACTGTTGTCTGTTATCGCTGTCGGCTATCGCACGAGTAATACGGTTCCAGGAATTTAAGTAGAGCTGGGCATGGTTATAGAGACGGGCATAATTGTACTTACTTATTACGTATAGATAATAATCCCTAAACTAACTTGTAACTTTTTGCTTTGCTTTTTCGTATTATGGTTCAAGAAATAAAAACTTAATAATAAAGAGGATATATTGAAATTTTAAGGGT